AAGCTTAGTGTAAACCCTCATGTTCAACCAACATGTAATCCACCTAGAAATGTACCATTAAAGTTAATGAATGAACTCAAAACGCATCTGCAGGAATTGACAGAGGAAGAAATCATTCGCCAAGTGGATCACTCCGGACATAGCGGCCCAATTCAGGACCTCCACCTCAATAAATCAAGAAGCCCCAATGGAAATAGAAGATAACCTCAGAAGGAAAATAACTGCGATCTCACCAGAACTCAACAGAAGTTTCAGCGAATCAGACCTTTCACAAACGGCAAAGAAATTAAAGGATGGTTCCATCACCAGCATTTGACATCAGCACCAAAATATCAACAGAAAACAGGAGAAGAAGGACTCAATCAAGCTCCAAACAGTCGAAGAAACTCAAATCAAATTATGCCTATATATATAATATAAGCCTGTTTGATTGTTTCCTTATCGTTTGAGAATCCCTGTATATTGATGCCCTTTCGGTTCTTTAAAACGTCCATATACCTGATTTTGGTGTTTGATTTTTGAGCTATATTCCTTATTTTCTCAAAAATTTCTATAGAATTTGATTCTGAAATTTCGTTCTTTGTTTCTCGGTTAATGTTGAATCCGCTGGGATTTTTTGCTGCTATTAGAGTTGCGTGTTCTTGTTTTTTGAGTATGCTGCTGCAGGATGACTTCTCTTTTGATTCTTCGATTTTCTCTGGTGATTGAACGGTTCTATCTATTTCGTTAATTTTTTGATCTAACTTTTGGGTATTCTTTGTTATGAGAGTTTTGACTTCCTCAATTTGCTTCAACGTTTTGTCTATTTTTTCCTGTGTGTTTGTGTTGCTTGTTTTTATTGTTTGAGGTTCCCTGATGACTGTGTTCTGGTCTGTTTCGATGGTTTGCGAGTTGACTTCTTGATGTTTCAAATAGAAATTGATAATTGTTCCAAAGTCTTGTTTCGTTATATTCGACTTCTTGAATGTTTGTTCTTTTTTGAAACTTTCCCATATTTTCTCGATGTTTGAGTTTTCTGACGAATTAGAGTGTGTTTGATTTCCTGTTTGATTGGGTTCTTTGGTTGAGTTTGTTAATTGGATTATTTGTTGCTGGTTATTTTGTGTCGATGTTTTCTCTAAGTCATCTTGAGTCTTTGTTGGAGGGATAATTTGAGTATCTTCTTGTCGTAGGTTCGTTTTGAGTTTCTTGGGAGTTTTCGTGCTCGTGATACTCGATTTTCTGCTTTATGGTTGACTGTTCGGGTTGCTGTTAATTTGATTTGAGTTTCTTCGACAGTTTGGAGCTTGATTGAGTCCTTCTTCTCCTGTTTTCTGTTGATATTTTGGTGCTGATGTCAAAAAGCTGGTGATGGAACCATCCTTTAATTTCTTTGCCGTTTGTGAAAGGTCTGATTCGCTGAAACTTCTGTTGAGTTCTGGTGAGATCGCAGTTATTTTCCTTCTGAGGTTATCTTCTATTTCCATTGGGGCTTCTTGATTTATTGAGGTGGAGGTCCTGAATTGGGCCGCTATGTCCGGAGTGATCCACTTGGCGAATGATTTCTTCCTCTGTCAATTCCTGCAGATGCGTTTTGAGTTCATTCATTAACTTTAATGGTACATTTCTAGGTGGATTACATGTTGGTTGAACATGAGGGTTTACACTAAGCTTAACTTCAAAGTATTTGAGACAACCTATGCCTTGGAAAACATTTTCATAACCTCTGATATATGAATTGTTTGGAGATTTTGATGTGTCACGAACATTGATGGAATTGATGAATTTCAAAAGATCAAACGGTTTGGTGGTGTCGAAACAGATTAGTGTTTCACAGGTCAGGTTTACGATGTGGAATTTTAGGTTGTAACGATTGTTATTAAAAGCTTGTTATAGAATAGGACCACCTGGGTTTTGATGGTGATCGGTACCGTCCGTACCTTGATGGAGAACAGCGATTTGATGATGATGATTGCTCGTTTCAGACGTCGACTTCAGGTGTTGATTGAAGTTGCTCCACACGATGTTTGGAGAGTTGAATTTTTTGGGCAAATTCAAATGCTTCAGCGAGCGTTGACTTGTCTTCTAGAAGTAAGCGTTCCTTGATGCTTGAATCATGAAGGCCACAGATGAACAGATCTTTGACAATGCTGTCTTGAATGTCACCAAGCTGGCATGTGCGAGAAAGATTGCGAAGGTCAGTGACATAGGATTCATGAGTTTCATCCGCTTTTTGCTTTCTGCTAAATAACTTGATTCGGTCAACAGTTACGTTGGGCTTGGGTGCAAAATGCTTGTGAAAGAGTGCAACCAGGTCAACAAATTTGGTTTTTGATATGTCGATTTGGAAAGATTGGTCAATGGTGAAGGCATTACCAGACATGCACTTGAGCAGAAGAGCGTTTTTCTGTGATCAGAAGCTGTGATGAGGTCAGTGGCGACAAGGCATATTTCGAACTGCGCATACCACTGTTTCCAATTTGTGGAGAGGTTTCCCCCGAATGACATTGGAGGGCAACCTGTATTTAAGTTTGACATTTTGAAGCCTTTTCAGCTGGGAAATGGAAGAAACGACGGACGACGACGAGATAGAGGATTTTCGGGTTCTGATGATAAGGACGTGGACAGAGGTTAGGCTGAGCATTGGGCACAGGACTTAGAGTGATATTAGAATCGTACGAATCATACTAGGACATAGGACGGACGGATACCTACATGGACAAATAGACTTTTCGGACGAGGACAGGACAGATTGACAGGACTTACATTGAATTAGGACATGACTGGACAGAGTGGACTAGATAAGGCATGTGATGACCGATTGCGGTTAGGCTTTTGCGACTCGCGACTTGAACTGGACATAATTTGGCCAGGGATTTAGAGCTGAGGTTTGAGGGAGCATCATAAACGGAGCCGCATCGGTGCGCAAGGCGGAGGCCCGGCGCGGACTTTCATGCCGCGTCGAACAGTGCGCCGGGGGAGCGCATTTGCCGTTGAGGCGGCTTAACCTGGTGAAGCCGACACCCGGCTCCTTTTCTGATGCTGCATCAGTTTTGATGCTGAGTCCAGCATCAAAATTGAGGCGGCTTCAATTAGCAGACACAACGGACGCCAGCGCCCGGGCCCGGCTGCCGGGCGGCTAATCGCACCGGGCTGTATTCAACCTTTCCTCGGCGAGGCGTGGGCCGCCGCCAAGACAAAGGGGTGTTCCGCGAATTCATCGCCAAGTCCGAGGGTCGCGGTCTTCTGGGACAGCCCCGTCGGTAATTAAGCTGGGTGGCGGGTCCGAAAATTGAGGCCGTATCGCGGGCCGCAAGCCGAGGGTCCGGCCTCAGAAGTTGAAACCCATGTTGGTCCCTGAGCCAGCATCAAACCTCAGCATCAGCGCTTAATGCTGCCTCGGTCGGCTCTCCAGCATCGGGCTTCAATGCCCGAAGCCGGCGTCGGTCGGCAGGTTGCGCGCATAAGGCGCGGCACCGCATGCCCGCACGGCCGCTACCTGGGCATACGGCATTAATGCTGAAGCTACGAGTCGATGCTGTACAGCATAACCTCATAAGGCGCCTCAAATGCCTGAATTTGGCGACTAACAGATCACAGAAATAGAGCTTCAGACCACCACACGAAGAGAAAGAAACTGAACGAACTGAAAATGATAGAGACACACACCTGACACCATGTTAGGTGTGGGAAATGAGGAACAAGTGAATTACGTTGAGGACGCCATGATGTCTGTACATTGAATGTCCTGCCGAACCGACAGCTGCCCCGGCGGCTGGGCTCACAAGCGGCGTTGCCAGGTCTCACTCTGACAGTGCCTTAAATCCCTGGCTCGAACTGATTTTAACCTTACTGAGAAAATGTGGAGGCAAATCTAGAGGAAATTGGCTTATTTTGTGGGAAAATTGAATGACCTTTGAAGTGGCGTATTTGGGGGTCCGAACCCCCCCTCAAAATTACTTCGAAGTGATTTCTGCAATTTTTACTTAAAACCGAACACAATTTGGTGAATTTTCCCGTTTTATTTATTTCTTGGCGATAATTTGAACCGGAGTTATGATGTTTTGAAAATAGGTCAAATTTGACCTTAGGCCTATCATAACTCGGTCAAAAATTAAGATATCGATCTGCGGTTTACGCCACAATTCTTAGTTTTCTATGCTCTTTTGAATGCGGTATCACAAAATAGGGGTTTCCGTTTGAAAAAAAAAAGTTGGGGGCCCCGCCGCCCTCCGAGGGGGGACCAAACTTTTGACCCCCCCCCCCAATGACGGTCCCCTTTGAGATAGGAATATTTCCAAAGTTTCGTTTTTTTCTCTCGAACCGTTCAAAAGTTAGACGGGGGCTGGACATTTGGAACACCCTGTATAACTTACATAGCCGGCTAAAAAGCCCATATAGCTAGCTACAGCCGGGAAAAAAGTTATATTGCAGTGAGGGGTTCTAACAGGGGCTGACCGGGCCAACTTTCGCGCGGAGACTCAAGACTGACCACTGACGAAGCCCACATGATCCTTTTAAGCATCGCCAGAAATTTCTGGCGATGCTTAAAAGGATCGTTACATTCCAAAGAAATTCAGTACCTCCTCATCAAAAAAATTCAGTACTTTTTCAGTACCCCGAATTGACGAAATTTCAAAAATTTGAATTTCTTGCTCAAATTGCGACAGAAATGGCAAAAAAATGAAACAAATCCCGGACCTTTAGCGGAATTACCGCACTTTTTCAGTACTTCTGGACCACCCTTGAAAAATCAGTACTATTTCCGAACTTGGAGACACCTTGCACCATGAACAAGCACGACCTTATAGTGAAACGATAAAACCCCCAAGGTTTTAGCCGTGCCACTACAATATAGGCAGCTAATATAAATGAGTTTTACCAGAACGTGTTCCTACCCAAAATATGGCTGCTCCAAAACCAAAATTATTTTGTTTTCCTGATATCCCAGAATTAGATGAGCTGCATCTCTGGCTAGCTATTTAAATAGAATATGCAAAATAATGCAGATGGGTACTTACACAAGACGACACATAGAGAACCAACGACCAAAATTAGAAAAATGCAAACTACTGTTAGTATGACAATTAATAGCCAAGATGACGAACTGTTGGCAGCAGACTCAGCTATGGTAACAGAAAAAAAACGAAGAGTTCATCAGAATTAAAGAAGCTAAACAATGAACAAGAATGAATACATATTTTGGGTCAAAAGTTTCCGTCGATAATGTTGCAAGAAAGTGATGTACCTAGTCAAATAAAAACACGCTTTACGGGTGAAATCGCATAAAAATACGTTGGACATGCTGAAAAAGTCTGAAATCCATTCTTTGGTGCACAATCGGCGCAATTTATTGTGATGCCTAGGGCAAAAGGGCCTAGAAACCCCCCGATGGCTGTGGGCAGGTGGGTTTTCCGCGTGCATTTTCCGGGCCGACGGACTTTGGTCTCAGAGTGTGAGAGAGGCTGGAAATGTGCGTGGAGGACCATTTGTTTGGAGTTGCTGGTGGTGTTGATGATTTGGTGCGCTCCTTGGAGTCGAAATTGGGCAATTTGTTTGGGAAAACTAGGAGAGAAGTGTGTCGGATGTTGGGCGTGGACCCGAGGCTAAAAAAGTTTGGACGGGCGGTACAGCGAGGTCTTTGTACCGATAGCGTTTGATCTGTGTATAAGTGTGATCTGTGGATAAAAGTGTAGATTGGAATCACCCCGAGTTCCCTCCCTTAGCTCTCCCATTTGAGTTGCGCGCCCCCCTTTGGCAACGAGAGTAGCGTCAGAACAGCGACCTATTACATTATCACATGCTTCTTTGAGTTTCCTGCGTCTGCGAGCAGTTTTTGTCAGTCACCGTCGACCAAGTTTGCACAAGCAGAGGAGCAAGAAAAATTTACTTGACTAAACAAACGATTTTACAAACTTTATCTTTGGTATGATTTCAATCGTTTTCAAAATGTTTGCTTCGCCTTTTTCTTCTTTTATTTTTAGTCCGGGCAAATGAGCCATAAAAGGGGTCATAGCCTGCAAAAATCCCGAGTAGCAATGTTTTCATTGATTCGTATACAATTTTTGACGCTGAATCCGAATTTTAACTTTGCGCCAAAAAATTCGGACCGGAAAGTCGCCAAATTTGGCAAAAATGGCCTAAAATCGGCCTTTTTCCGGATTATGGCCTGTAACTTGCCTAAAATTGATCTGATGATAAAATTAGTTACTTTCAAAAATATAGTTCGTTAAATTTCCTATGAAAAAGTTCCTACACTTTTTTTTTGCTCAAGGCAAAATCAAGCGCGCTGGCGGGCTCTGAACTTTGGAAAATGAGCGAAAATTTCGCACACTGTAATGTGTTGGGTTCCTTATTATTTACATAAATTCATTTCACTTAGTGTAAATTTTATCATCTTGACTTAATTTCTTTAGAAATCACTTGTCAGACGTTTATTAAAGGAGACATCGGGCAAAAACGGCGAAAAACGCAATTTTCGCTCATTTTTCAAAGCTCGGTGCCTCCCAGCGCGCTTGAATTTGTCCTGAGCAAAAAATTGTACGACCTTTTTGTTGGAAATTTAACGAGCTTCATTTTTGAAAGTAACCAATTTTATCATCAGATCAATTTTTGGCAAGTTACAGGCCATAATCCGGAAAAAAGGACGATTTTAGGCCATTTTTGCCAAATTTGGCAACTCTCCGGTCCGAATTTTTTGGCGCAAAGTTGAAATTCGGATTCAGCGTGAAAAATTACATATGAATCTATGAAAACATCGCTATTTTCGCTCATTCTTCAAAGTTCGGTGCCCACCAGCGCGCTTAATTTTGCCTTGAGCAAGAAAGGGTGTAGGAACTTTTTTATAGGAAATTTAACGAGCTTTATTTTTTAAACAACTTAATTGTCGTCGGTTCAATTTTGGACGAGTTTCAGGCCATAACCCGCTAAAAACGCAATTTTCGCTCATTTTTCAAAGTTCGGAGCCCGCCAGCGCGCTTGATTTTGACTTGAGCAAAAAAATGTAAAGGAACTTATTTATGGGACATTTAACGAACTACATTTTTGAAAATCACTAATTTTATCGTCAGATCAATTTTAGGCAAGTTACAGGCCATAATCCGGAAAAAAGGCCGATTTTAGGCCATTTTTGCCAAATTTGGCAACTTTCCGGTCCGAATTTTTTAGCGCAAAGTTGAAATTCGGATTCAGCGTGAAAAATTGTATAGGATTCTATGAAAACATCGCTACCCGGGATTTTTGCAGGCTCTTTTCCTTGTTTGCCTGGACTATTTGCAAAAATAAAAGCTTTGAATTGCCCTGCTAAAAATTTCTCATGGGAATGACATGTGATCACATGCGCTCTCACGAGAACACCATGTGATCACATGCGCTCCCAGGGGAATGACATGTGATCTCATGTGCTCTTAGGGGAATGACACGACATCACATGTGTTCCCCTGGGGAATGGACAGGGGAGCCTGTGAGCTCCCGTGGGAGCTAACATGTGACCCGTGCGCTCCCATGAGAGTGTATATAAGACCCGTAAATGTGCTCTCGCGGGACCTCTCACGGTGTCCCATGGATCATCATTGAACTTCCGGGAAAATGCCACGGGCCCATATGTGACTGCAGTCCACCACAGTGGAGCATCACATAACTATATATTCATGGGAAATGCATACAGGACCTTACAGCGTCCTGTAAAGACGTCACCGAACTTAAGAACGGATACGGTGCGACATAACACTGCGTCTTTATCTACTTTAGATGCTTTATAAGTTATACCCTGATAAAAATATTTCCCCTGGGGCTGCACACGAGATCACATCTGCTTCCCTGAGGAATAGTAAGGAAAGCCCCTGCGCTCCCCAAGGAATGACAGGGGATCCCCTGTGCTCCCAAGGAAATGAATAGAGGGTCACCTGTGCACTCATGGGAGTCTTGGGATCTTCAGTCCTGTCCCTCCGTCCCCGCGCGTCCCGTAGCTTTAAGATTCGGTTGGCGGACTTCCGGCTCATCGGTTGTTTTTTTTAGTTTATTTATTTTTCAATCCATTTTATTTATTTGTTGATTCTTTTATTTATTGATTTTTTTAATTTATTGTTTTTTTATTTCTTGATTTTTTTTATTTATTGATTTTTTTTTATAATATTTTTCAGGTGCGTTATAGCCAAAAAGATGCTATGGAGCCAAATAAATTCGATACGCTACTACTATTTTATATAAATAATTTAACATATTTTATTTCCTTATGAAAATACATTTTATTCTACCTATGAATTGTTTATTTTAATCTACTTTATTTTATTTGATTTATTTATCTATATTAATCTTTTTTTATTTTATTTTATTTATTTATTTATTTATTTATTACAATCTATTCGATGTGTTTATTTATTTAGGTTAATTTATTTAATTTTCTTGTTTATTTCATTTCATTCAATTTAATTCAATTTCATTCATTTATTTTTCTTCGTTTTAATACCTATATAAACTTTTTTTATTTTGATTCGTGTGTTATTCACTTCTTTCTTTCCAAAAATTGATCTAATTTTTTACTATTTTTGTTTCCTTAAAACTGGGTAATGCAGAAATTTTCAAGAATATCGTTGCTTTTCATCATGGAATCAACGCGGCGCGGCGCTGGGGATGTTTATGCTTGCTAAATTTCCCTCGAACACACGTGAGCCTCCGGAGCTCCACGGCAGCGGCACTCGGGCGATCACGAGGGTTAAGTAACGTCGGGCGTAGTTAGTACTTAGATGGGAGACCGCTTGGGAATGACCGCACTGCGGAGGTTTGCATAATAGCAAAGAATTTCTTTCATGTCTAAAACATGCCACGGCAATAGTACGAATTAATTTTCGAGTTTAATCCTTAATCTTTTTCTTCTATGGCTCTGCTAGTGGAGACGGCATTTTGGGCACGGACTAGGGAGCTTCCCATGGGAGCTACTTCTCATGGGAGCCACCTCTCAGGGGAATTATTCCCCTGCCCAAAACAGCCTGAGTGAAATTCCCATGAGAAATTTTTAGCAGGGTGAAATCTTACGCAAGAAAAGTTTATAATACGCGAGATTGTTTGTTCATTTACATTTACTTAGTTCTGTCTCCGGGCAAACCTGACTGCCAGTCACCAAGAAAAACTGCCCCCGAAAGCAGTAGATTTGCAAAAGCGTTTTCCGAACTACGAAACTCCTGCGCTAGGGAGTGGAGTCCATACTTACCTATTTGATGTGCCCAGCGTCACTTTCCAGCTAATTTCTCAAAAGATATATTCAGTTGGCTAAATCTCTTGTGTGCCACAAACTTATTGTGAACATCCACCACAGCTCAGCCAAGAAAAATTTATTTTCTGCTTTCTTTGGCATTGTGCTTTCATCGCGTATCTTCTGCCTAAGTACGCGTTCGTGTTTTTTAAGCATGTATTTGCAAACATTTCGTCATTTTGCTCCCTCTTAATTCATGCCAAAGAGTTCAAATACAGATTATTTGAAATCAAATAAAGGACCCGGGCATGTTCAAAACAGGGTCAATTGTTTAAATGGCCAATTTTAAATTTTTAAATGTGTTTAAACCACCGTGACTTCGGTGTCAAAACAATCCTTTTATAGTGTGATTTTAAAGAATTATTTGTTTTTTTTTAGTTTGGCGCAGACTGTAAAACAAACATTCCTTCAAGTATCGGTGGCCTGAAGGCCTAAAAGCAAAAACTATCAATTTTAAGTTTATTCCAATGATGGGGTGTCATATTGCGAACATGATGTCCTCAAATCCAAAGGTAAAACCTCCTCAGTGCTTTCCATTGGATCAGCATCTAGAAACCAATTGGGAACAATTCAAATCTCGGCTTGAACATTACTCGGTTGCAATCAAGTTAGCGGAACAGGAGAAAGCAGTTTAAGTGGCAATCATCCTTAACCTATTTAGTGATGAAGTGTATGATTCAGTGATAATACTAAAGCCAACCGGTCTCGACGATATGGCCGCAGTGATCAAGGTTCTTGGTAGCTTTATAAAACCTAAGCAAAATTTAATACATGCGCGCCTCATGTTCAACTCACCTAACCAACAAGAGTTAGAACCTTTTGGATCGTTTTTCTTAAATATCCAATAGTTAGCGGAAAAGTGTGAGTTCGGGGACCTCAACAGCTCACTGATTCGAGATCGTGTAGTGATTAATTGGCATTACGGATCAGAAGTTAAACGGAAGAGGCTCCTGGGCCAAGAGAAGCCATTAGACAAAGTGTTGCAAATCTGCCGTCCAGTGGAGGCTGCATGGACGAGACAGAGCAAAGGACGTGCAAAAAGCCAGTACAACAAGGGCTGTCAACCACACAACGCCCCCCCCCCTCCTAAAAAATTTGAGCAGATGCGGCAGTGGGTCAAAGTTGAAAATCGGCAAAATTTTTGCGAATTTTTCACACGAGAACTAAAAAGTTTTGTAAATTGAAAAAAATATTTTTACAGAACAGTTATATTTAAACTAGGGGGCCCTGCCCCCTGACCGCTACGCGGCCCAACCCCCTGGAGGGCCTTTGGTGCGCAAATGCGTTTATGCGAGGTTATGCCAACGCCACAATCGAAACCGGAAGAATGAGAAAAAATTGAGTAAAAACCTTATACTTTGGACCTTGTACCTTGAACCCTAAGCGATGCACCGTTCCTCAACTCTCGGAATGAGGAGCCCTACACGAGGTTTTCCATTGTTCTATTGTTCATTTGAGTCACTCAGGTAGAATCCCAGACCTCGACGTTTCCAGCGGAAACGACATTATCTCTCCCGCTATTAATATCGGACATAAAAAGACATGAGCTTTAAAAGCTCTACAACATTAAAAGTTCGGGATTTCATAATTGTTTGCACATCTACAGCTATTACGGATGACACCCATGTAAAGATCATCCTTATCGGCCCGGTAGTTCGTCAGAAATAGTGCTTCCAAGATTTTGCTTGTAGCTGTATAATACAGGGTGGGCCAGAAGTTCCAGGACGGTCGGCTAACTTTTTAACGGTTCGAGATAGAAAAATGAAACTTTGGGAATGTTCCTATCTCAAAGGGGACCATCTTATGGGGGAGTCAAAATTTTGGTCCCCCCTAAGGGAGGGGGCGGGGGGCCCCCAACTTTTTTTTTTCAAATGGCAACCCCTATCTTGTGATACCTCATTCGAAAGAGCATAAAAAACTAAGAATTTTGGCGCAAACCGCAGATCAATATCTTAATTTTTGACCGAGTTATGATAGGATCAAAGGTCAAATTTGACCTATCTTCAAAAAATCACAACTCCGGTTCAAATTATCGTAAAGAAAAAAATAAAACGAGAAAATTTACTAAATTGTGTTCGCTTTTTTGTAAAAATTGCAGAAATCACTTCGAACTAATTTTAAGGGGGGGTTCGGACCCCCAAATACGTCAATTCAAAGGTCATTCAATTTTCCAGTGAAATAAACCAATTTCCCCTAGATTTGCCTCCACATTATCTCAGTAAGGTCAAAATCAGTTCAACATTACGTTGGGCAAGTCCCCAAATTTCAGGAAAAGTCAAAAAAACGCAATTTAAGGTAATTAAATTTGACCGTTTAAATTGGGTTTTTTTTTAACTTTTCCTGAAATTTGGGGACTTGCCCAACGTAATGTTGAACTGATTTTGACCTTACTGAGATAATGTGGAGGCAAATCTAGGGGAAATTGGTTTATTTCACTGGAAAATTGAATGACCTTTGAATTGACGTATTTGGGGGTCCGAACCCCCCCTTAAAATTAGTTCGAAGTGATTTCTGCAATTTTTACAAAAAAGCGAACACAATTTAGTAAATTTTCTCGTTTTATTTTTTTCTTTACGATAATTTGAACCGGAGTTGTGATTTTTTGAAGATAGGTCAAATTTGACCTTTGATCCTATCATAACTCGGTCAAAAATTAAGATATTGATCTGCGGTTTGCGCCAAAATTCTTAGTTTTTTATGCTCTTTCGAATGAGGTATCACAAGATAGGGGTTGCCATTTGAAAAAAAAAAGTTGGGGGCCCCCCGCCCCCTCCCTTAGGGGGGACCAAAATTTTGACTCCCCCATAAGATGGTCCCCTTTGAGATAGGAACATTCCCAAAGTTTCATTTTTCTATCTCGAACCGTTAAAAAGTTAGCCGACCGTCCTGGAACTTCTGGCCCACCCTATATAGATTACATAATTGACTAACTGTAGCTAGTCAATTATTTTGCCACTTTCTTTCTTAACTCTTATGATACAAAGTAATTAATATGTTATTAATTCTACACACATTACTTATAATTTTAGCTAATTGTATATATTTCCTGTATTGGAAGCTTACAATAAAATAATTCTTTGGAAAAAAAAGAAAAAAGAACAGATTATTCCGAATGTCGTTTTCAGTGTCTTCCTTTTTTAGTCAGAACAACAATTTCTCTACATGCATGCAAATGTCACGTGCACTTGAGATTTTCACTGATAGTACTGATTTGCTCTTGGTTGCAATCAGGTTAATTTTGCGAAAAGCAGGAGCCCCTTCTTTGCCTTGAAATTGAACATAGATTTATATAAATTTCAAAATTTGATATGGAGTAAAAAAAGCCGAAAGGAAAACTGACAATTTAGAACTCATCATAAAATGAAAGTGACATCATGACATGAGTCATACTAGTAAAAAAAAAGAGATACTTACGGATACAAGATCGACCATTTGCATCAAGGATCCAAGTATCTGGACAAATGCATGCAGTGTCTTCTCGATTTTCATCAAGAGCAATGCAACGGTAGTCACATCGACAAGCAGGTGTAGATAGAGCTGGTATTATGATCACTTCACCTGATCCGCTGTTTGAACCACTGCGCGACCTTCCGAATTTCCCCCCAACCTTTGACCAACCGCCTTCTCCATTGTGAATACTTTCTGTCCACGAGTCTCCACCTGAAGGGGAAAAATACAGAAATTCAGAGTTCAAAAGGATAAGTATAAAAAAAGAGAGAAGAATTAGAAAAAAACGGAATGTGCGGTGAGGGGTCAGTATTTTGGACACGAATAGGCCGATTTTGGATTTCTCAGTTACGATATGGGTCAAAATTTTCTGTACTTGCAAGAATATTGAAATAATTTCAAAATTTTGACATAAACCCCGACTTTTGAAGTACGGATCCCCCCTGTACCTCTTCTCTCAGGAATGATGCGGGAGGAGCGGCTCAGGGACCATGAAATTCGGAATCCTTGTGCATGGAATTATTCTCTACCTAGTGTTGTAATGTCAGAAAGCATCATATAGATATGGCAACCATGGATCATGTGACCAGGTCAAACCCCACTCAAAACCACAGACACATACAAGATGTCCGACCATGAAAGTTCTTGAATAAACAGGTGTAATCTCGTAAAAGTCTTTATTTATGTTTCATCAAAAGTCCTTCAAAAGTATAGATAAAACATGGCGCAGTCGAATGTATTTACGTGCCGAAAGTGTTTTGAAAGCCAATAGTGAAAGCCAAAGTTATTGAAAGTGAAATATCGTATCTCTAATGAAAGTGCAAACGTGACTGAGAACAGTGAAAGCCTATTTTGAAGCCTAAGGTGAAGCACATGCAAATTTGAAAACTGTAAGTTTTGGATATCTTACAATTATGGAAGTTTGTTCTAAACCAAAACCGTTGAGTGTCAAAGGTAACCTCAAAGAAAACTGGAAGAGGTTCAAGCAAGAATTTGAAGACTTGCTAGTCTCAATGGAATGGGACTCAAAATCAGATAAAGTCAAAGCGGCCAAATTAAGAAATTTAATTGGTCCTGAAGGCCGAGAAAGAATTGAAGCTCTAGGTCTACAAACGTCTGAAGACTATAGTGAACTGATATCGAAACTAAATGCTTGGGCGGAACCTCAGAAAAATATCACAATGGAAAGAGCTAAGTTCAGCTCTCGAAACCAAAATCCGAATGAAAGTTTCGACGAATACGTGTCTGATCTAAAACGTCTGATCTCCACGTGTGAATATGGTACTCTCAAAGATGAGATTTTAAAAGACCGAATTGTCTTGGGAGTAGCAGATGTTAAGTTAAAAGAACATCTTCCCCGAATCTCTGATCTCACCCTAGATAAAGCAGAGAAGTTAGCACACGCGGTTGAAACTGCTAAAGCAAGCATAGCGGTGATGTCATCATCCGAGCAACATGAAGTAAACCATGAAGTGAATCCAGTCCAAAAATTCAGAGGTCGTGGTCGCGGGCGAGGAAATTTTCAGAGGTCATCCAACTCGCAGCGTGGTCAAAGCAGAAGCAACCAGCCAAATGGACAGTATCAGCAACAAAGATCTCAATACTCTCAATCACGTGGTGGAAACCGAGGTGACTATAACGGAAATTTCAGAGGTAAACAGTCTAATTATTGTCATAGGAATGATAACTATTATTGTAAAAAGTGCGCAACAAAGAATGGGCCGAGACAATGTCCAGCCCATAATAAAGAATGTGGAAGATGCTTCAATCTACATCATTTTGCAAGGTGTTGTAGGGCTAATAATGTAAATGAAGTTAACGTAGAAGAAAAGAAAAACGGTGTTGTTAAGCGAGCAGTCGAATCCGTTGTTCACAGAGAATGTCATGAGCTAGTAGCGTACAGCCCAAAAGCAAGTTTTTATGAAACCAGGGTAATAAATTGTGACAAAGCAGATAAATGTCTTGAAACTGCCACTAAGAATTTAGAAATTGGAAAGCCAGCTGAAAATGCTAATGAGAGTCAGGTAAATGTCCTTGATGTCCAAGATCACCCAAATGTCAGTAGCGTTGGTGAACAGAAAAAGCCAAGAAAGGAATGGAGAGAAACAATATTCCTTGAAAACGTTCCGGTTAGTATGAAACTGGACCCGGGGAGTGAAGTAAACACTCTACCAGAAATCATTTTTAAAGCTATTTTAAAGAAAACTAAAATTCCACTGGAAAAGACAAACGAAATATTAGGTGGAATAGGTCACGGTGTAGCTAGACCTCTAGGTATTGTAAGAAAGGTGGATTGTAAAACAAGTTTTGATGTGCGAGGATATTTTGATTTCTATGTCACAAAAGATAGTGGACACTAAAGCATTATTAGGTATTGAAGCGTGTGAACGCCTTGAATTAGTAATAAGAAGGGTGCACTCTGTTAGCACTAATGCAGAACAAGCAGCTTTTGTTGAGAAAAATAGAGATGTTTTTACTGGTAGCGGCAAAGTTCCAGGTTTAGTTAGTTTTCAGGTAAAACCGAATCCTGACTTTAAAATTTTACCTCCGAGGCGGTATCCGATTGAAACAAGTGAAAAACTGTTGAATAAATTAAATAAATTGGAGAAGCAAGAAATAGTTTTAAAAATTCCAATAAATGAAAAACGGTTATGTGTCAGTAATATATTAGTCCGTGAAAAACCGGATGGTGATTTACGGTTATGTCTTCATCCAAAAAATTTAAATGAGTGCCTCATAACAAGAAAATGTGCTATCCCTACTGTTGATGAAATCAGTGCAAAGCTGTCAGGTAAAAAATGGTTCACAGTGTTTGATGAAAAAGAAGCGTTTTATCATTTTGAGCTGGATGAATACTCAAGTCGTTTGTGTGCATTTAACACGCCTTTTGGAGTCTATAAATTTTTACGTATACCTTTTGGGATAATCTGTGCAGCAGAGTGTTGCCATGAAAGAAATGTAACTATTTTTGGAGGAATCAAAGGTGTGACAGTGTACATCGATGATATCCTCGTAGCAAATGACACAGAAAAAGAACACGATGAAAGCATCAATCTGGTAATAATTCAGGCCAGAAAACATAATGTTAAATTTAAGTTGTCAAAACTTCAATACAAACAAAGGTTTGCGCATTTCACTGGGTTTATTTTTTCGGAAAAAGGAAGGCAAATCGACCCGGAAAGAACGAGAGCGTTAACTGCGATTGTAGACCCCAAAAATAAAAAAGAACTAATGTCAATAATGGGGATGTTGAACTATGTAAGACAGTTTTTGCCTAATCTAAGTAATGAATCAGCTCTTTTACGTGAGTTACTTAAAAAAGATGTAGAAATTTTGTGGACCCCGTATCACTCTGAAGTGTTAGCAAAATTAAAAAAGAGAGTTGCTGAAGCACCTATTATATGTAATTTCGATTCGTCTCAAGAAATAGTGTTACAATCAGATGCGTCAAAATCAGGAATTGGAGCATGTTTGATGCAGTTGGGTAGACCAGTTGCCTATTATTCTAAGGCTCTGACAGAAACACAAACCAACACCTGGGGTCAAATCGACAAGGAATTTTATGCAATAATTGCAGCGCTTGAACAATTCTACCAATTTACTTATGGTAGAGATGTAACTGTTGAATGTGATCATAAACCTATTTCTTATTTGGTTCATAAGGACATAAGTAAAATTAAATCTCAAAGATTGAAGAAATTCAGACAAAGGTTGTATAATTTCAAAGTTAAGATAATATTTAAGCCAGGTCGAAAAATGTACATAGCTGATCTGTTGTCTAGGCAATATTTGCAGGATGTAGCGGAAGACGATCCAGAAGAAATGGAGTATGTCCATTCCGTTCTAACTGAAGAAAAAGGTAGTTTAAGTGATTTAGAAGAGTTGAAGCGAGAAACAGAAAATGACCCAGCTCTACAAATTCTAAAAGAATACCTACTCAATGGTTGGCCTAATAATAAAAGTGTTTGGCCAGATAATGTAAAACCATTTTGGAAAATTAAAGAATTTTTGTATCTAGAAGATGGAGTAATTTTTAACGATGAGAGAATTGTGGTTCCAAGAGCAATGAAAGAAAAATTTCTTACGCTGTTGCATTTAGGTCGTTTTGGTATTTCAAAAACTATTGCGAAAGCCACTGAATTGTATTATTGGCCAGGTATGAATTCTGATGTAACGAATTTTGTAAAAAATTGTCCGATTTGTGAAAAATTTTCAATGAACAATCGTAATGAACCCTTGATGCCCATCGAATTACCAAAGAATGTATTTGAAGTTTTAGGTATTGATTTTGCTGAGTTAAACGGGGAGAGTTTCCTTATTTTAGTGGATTATCTGTCTAAATGGTTAGAAATAACAAAAGTCCCATCTCACCATGCTAGAACGGTGATTAATGCTGTAAAACCAATCTTTGCAACGCATGGTTATCCTAAAGAAATTATTTGTGATAATGTCCCTTTCGGAGCCAGAGAATTTAAAAATTTCATTGAAGAACATAAGGGTGAGATCCTAACAACCAGCCCAAATTTTCCTCAAGCACATGAAATGATTGAAATTTATGTAAAAATAGCCAAAGGAATGATAAAGAAAAGCAAGGAGTCTAAGGTTGATCTTGATGAAATGCTGTTAGAATATAGAAACATGCCTTTGACAGGTATGAAAGTCAGTCCAGCTCAAATTTTAATGAGTCGTCAGTTGAGAAGCAAGTTACCTGTTAATCCTAATCAGTTAAAACCTAAAGTAGTGAATGCAAGAGAAAAGTTTCTTGAAAAGCAAGCTAAAGTTAAAGAACAGTTTGATAAATCTGCTACACGATCTGAAACTGAGTTTAAGGCGGGTGACAATGTTGCTGTTCGAAAAGATAAAATCTGGATTAAAGGAATAATTGTAGGTCCAGCAGGTACCCCTCGTTCGTATATTGTTCAAACAGCTCATGATAATTTGCGTAGAAATACCTTTCATTTAAAAAAAATCTCAAACTGAACGTTTCAATCCACTTTTGCAACAAAATGACAACTATGATTTTCTGGAGGCAGAATTAAATGATAATACCCAGTTACATAATGTAATTGAACCTAATAATAATGTACCCCCAAATGCACAAGTTGTTAATAATGCCCTGCCTAACGGTCAAGCGCAAAATAATGAACCTGAAAATGTAATTCCACGTAGAATTAGACGTGTCCCTGAGTGGCACAAAGATTATGTTATGTAAA